TAACAAAATCCAAATTGAAGAAGAGATTTATGAAAAATCTGACGAAGATACAAACTTTGGCCTTAGGCCCATATTAAACTTTGGCCTTAGGCCCTATATGAGCTTGAGCCGCCCCTACATATGTATGAACCCATGTGATCCAAAGTGTCTCGCTTCTTTGACTCAAAGCCCAAAGTAGTTTGCTCACAGTAGTCAAATTCCATATTCTTTAGTTGAGAATACTCAGTCCTCCAGCACTCTTTTAGGCAAACATACCTTCTCCCATGCAACTAGGGCCCTTCTAGATATAGTAGCCTCACTCGTCCACAAGTAGCTTCTACAAATTGCTTCGATTAACTTAATAACCTTTTGAGGGAGTAGGAATAATTGTGACCAATATGACTGCATCCCAAGTAGTACACCCATTACCTGAAGTATATGAGGTGTATTCCCAAGCATGGAAAAGGTCGTGACCTTATTCGTGGTCGTGGCCGTGGACAAGGAAGAATTTTTTCTAGTGTTAATCATCCCCTAAAGAAAAATAACCACCAAAAGTGAAAAGGAAAAGATGAGAAGCCAAAGGCAAATGGTTCAAAAACTGAATGCTATCGTTGCGGTGGAAAAGGGTATTGGGCAAATATTTATCGTACACCAATACATTTGATTAAGCTTTATCAAGCATCTCTAAAGAACAAAGGCCCTGAAGCTAATTTTGTCTATGACAATGAATTTGTCATCACCCACTTGCATGCATAGCACAATTGAAGGGAGGATTCATAAAAGGAGACAGGACAATGCACATTCCCCAAAGTTATTTTTTCACACATGAGCTAAAAAAATGGTGATATCAATGTGCAACAGATTTGTTCAAGTGATAATATGACTGGTTTATTCACCAAATCTCTACCAACGTCAACCTTCAAGAAGCTGGTGTACAACACTGGGATGCAAAAGCTCAAGGATGTGAATTGATACTCTCATCAGAGGGAGTTAATACGCGTTGTACTCTTTTTCTCTTACAAGGTTTTGTCCCACTGGATTTTTCTTACAAGATTTTTAACGAGACAACCAAAAGGCGTATTATTAAACATGTGTACTCTTTTTCCTTTACTAGAACTTTTTTCCCACTGAGTTTTATTTTAGTTAAGGTTTTAACGAGGCACGTTACTATTGAGTAGACATTCAAGGGGGAGTGTTATGAATAGAATTGTACTTAGAGTGAATGTCTATCTTTTAGAGAGTTTGTTACTTTGTGGCTAAGTAATTATTCCCCCTATATATAGGGGCTTTACCCCCATTGTAAATCATATGAAATTAATAAGAATTACCTCCCTCTTTTCTTGCAATATTCTCCTTTTCTTTATTGTTTTATTTTATTTAGGCATTTTTCCAAAATATGATCTAATGCTGTGTTATTTCTATCTTAAATATAGTTGTGCTTTATGAGATGATTCTAGTTGAATTAAGTATTCACTTTGCAGCAAACAAATTGTAGAGTTGCCTTTCAAAAATATCTATCTTAATATTACATCAATAAGATTATACAATTAAGAAATCAAACGAGCAATAATTACATTCTCTTAACACTAAATTATACAAATAAGGTTCAACACTATACAAAGCACCCCAACCATTTGAATAGCAAACACATACACATTGAAATAAATACTATGATTCAGCATCATTTCCAAATTTTTTCTCTTCTTCAATTCAGCCTCAAGTTCTATTTTATCATTCTTCAAGCCAAGATTTACAATCTTCAATTGGGCAGGGAATTCAGGATTGTACCACTCAAAAAATTCACAAGCAACATAGTCCTTAACATTAAAAATTCAACAAAGCATTATAAACAAATGAAATCTTTGCCAGTAATATGATGATTTAAAAAATAATTATCCCATAATATTTGCATCAAAAAAGAAATTTCTTCATGGGTTAGCATTTGTCATTGAAGGTGCATTCAACTTCATCTCTATACTGTATTGAGTTTAATAAATGAGTATTCTTACAACATAGGTAAGAAATGAAAGGAGACTAAAACGAGAAAGAGTGTAACTAATTTACAAAAAGAAGAAACAAGAGAGAGAGAAAAAAATTTCAGATGTCGAGATGAAGAAGACATGTGAAAATTAGACGAAGAAGAAAACTGAAAAATTGAAGAAGAAATGTGAGAATATAAATAAAATAAAGAAAAAATAAAAAAATTGAAAAAAAGATAAGCCTAATTAGCTATTAAACACGGGCAGGTGTATCCATTTTTATGGATATTTTCACTTGTCAAGCGCCTTTTTAGGAGTTATTTCATACATGTTGCAAATAAGCAATATATATTATTATTTTATTTTTATAATTAGAGGAACATAGTTCGGGGGAGAGTTTTGGGGATGCCCGATAGCTTAAATAGTAAACAGACAAAAAGTTGATAGTTTAGGGGGATTTTGTGGTATTTACTCATTTTATTATAAATTTAATGTCTTACAAATGGTAACGGAAACCTCCTATATATAATAAGAAAATACCTTCATAACCAAGTAACCAACTTAGAGGGTGTTTGGATTGGCTTTTAAGCCGGTCAAATCAGCTTTTAAGCTCTTTTTAGCTTTTTCAATGTTTGGCAAAATTAAAAAGTGCTTAAAATAAGTTAAAAACTGCTTAAAACAAGCCAAAAAGCAATAGGGCAACCCCAACTTATTACTTTTTGGCTAAAAAACTATTTTTGCTGAAAAGCCACTTTTTTTTTAAGTCAATCCCAACGAGCTCTTAGTCCCAAAATAACTAATGTTTCCATTAAATTGCATAATGAATGCAATAACAACATACCCAGTATTTATCCCACACCGTGGGGTCTGGGGAGGGTAGTGTGTACGCAGACCTTACCCCTACCTTGTGAGGATAGAGAGGTTGTTTCCAATAGACCCTCGGTTCAAGATAGTATAAGTACCACATTAATAAAAATATAGGCAAGAAGAGACAATATCAAAAAGCCATATAAAAGCAGAATAACACAACAAGACAGTAAAGTGATCAGCAATGAAAGAAAACAATGGTTAGTCATAAAAACCTACTACCAACAGAAAATGAGACTGCGTGCCAATACTGAAGTTATGAACACTCTACACTACCTACTCTACTACTCTAATTCTCGGCCTCCATACCTTCCTATCAAGAGTCATGTCCTCGGTTAGCTGAAGTTGCGCCATGTCTTGCCTAATCACTTCTCCCCACCTCTTCTTTGGTCTACCTCTGCCTCTCCGTAGGCCCTCCAATGTCAGCCTCTCACACCTCCTCACCGGAGCGTCTCTGCTCCTCCTCCTCACATGACCAAACCACCTAAGCCGCACTTCCCGCATCTTGTCCTCAATAGAGGCCACCTCTACCTTATCGCGAATAACCTCATTTCTAATCTTATCTAACCTGGTGTGCCCGCACATCCACCTCAGCATCCTCATCTCTGCTACCTTCATCTTTTGGACACGAGCAATCTTGACTGGCCAACACTCAGCCCCATACAACATCGTTGGTCTGACCACCACTTTGTAGAACTTACCCTTAAGTTTCGATGGCACCTTCTTGTCACACAAAACACCGGAAGCGAGTCTCCATTTCATCCATCCCGCCCCAATACGATGTGCGACGTCTCCATCAATCTCCCCATCCCCCCGAATAATAGACCCGAGATACTTAAAACTCCCTCTCCTAGGGATGACCTGCGAGTCCAGTCTCACCTCCCCTTCCCCTCCTATAGTCTCGCCGCTGAAATTACACTCCAAGTATTCTGTCTTGGTCCTGCTCAACTTGAAACCCTTAGATTCCAGGGTCTGCCTCCATACCTCTAATTGCGCGTTCACACTGTCTCGCGTCTCGTCAATAAATACAATATCATCTGCAAATAGCATGCACCACGGCACCTCCCCTTGGATGTGGCGCGTCAGTATGTCCATCACCAGAGCAAACAAAAATGGGCTTAATGCTGACCCCTGATGCAACCCTATCATAACCGAAATGGTCCGAGTCCCCCACCACCACCACCACCACCACCGTCCTCACTCGAGTCTTTACTCCATCATACATGTCATTAATCAATCTAATATAGGCAACAGGAACACCTCTAGCCTCCAAACATCTCCACAAAATCTCCCTCAGAACTTTATCGTACGCCTTTTCTAAGTCGATGGACACCATATGCAAGTCCTTCTTTCTCTCCCTATACTGCTCCATCAATCTCCTAACAAGGTGGATGGCTTCTGTAGTCGAACGCCCCGACATAAATCCAAATTGGTTCTCGGAAATAGTCACGCTCCTTCTCGCCCTTAGCTCTACCACTCTCTCCCAGACTTTCATAGTATGGCTAAGCAGCTTGATACCCTGATAATTATTGCAATTTTGGATATCACCCTTGTTCTTGTATACATAAACCATCGTGCTCCACCTCCACTCTTCGGGCATCTTCTTCGTTCTAAAAATGACATTAAATAACCTAGTGAGCCACTCCAAGCCCGCTTTGCCCACATTCTTCCAAAACTCCACCGGGATTTCATCTGGTCCTGTCGCTTTGCCCCTGCTCATCTTACGCATAGCACCCTCAACTTCATCAACTCTAATCTGCCTACAATACCCAAAGTCACAATGACTCCCGGAGAATTCCAAATCACCTAGTACAATGCTCCTGTCCCGCTCCTCGTTCAAGAGACTATGGAAGTAGGTCCTCCATCTCTGATGGATAAGCCCTTCATCCAACAAAACTCTACCTTCTTCGTCCTTGATGCACTTCACTTGGTCCAAGTCACGCGCCTTCCTTTCTCGCGCCTTAGCTAACCTGAACAGCCTCTTATCCCCACCACGGCCCTCGAGTTCCTTATACAGTCGACTAAAAGTTGCAGTCTTTGCCGCGTAACTGCTAGCTTAGCCTCTTTCTTAGCCAACTTAAAATGCTCCCTATTCGCCCTTTTCTCCTCCTCGTTTACACTTTCCACTAGCTTCAGATATGCTGCTTTCTTGGTATCCACTTTTCCTTGCACCTCTCAATTCCACCACCAATCTCCCTTGTGACCACCAGAATTACCCTTTGAGACTCCTAATACCTCTCTCGCGACTTCCCTAATGCACTGCGCAGTCATGGTCCACATAGCGCTTGCGTCCCCACTACTCCTCCAAGCCCCCATAGTCACCAGCTTGACCCCCAACTCCTGCGCTTTAGCTTCCGTCAAGGCTCCCCACTTTATCCTATGTTGGCTATACATCGCCCTTTTCCTCCTTTTCCTCGTGATCTCAAGGTCCATGACCAGGAGCCTGTAAAGGGTCGAGAGGTTCTCACTTGGGATGACCTTGCAATCCATGCAAAGACCTCTATCGGACTTCCTACAAAGTACATAATCAATCTGAGTCTCGGCCACCGAACTCCGGAAGGTGACCAAGTGCTCCTTCTTCTTCGGGAAACTCGAGTTTGCTATCACCAAATCAAAAGCTCTTGCAAAGTCCAGCAGAGACGTTCCTCCTTCGTTTCTATCTCTAAAACCAAAGCCACCATGCACATCATCATACCCCCCAGGCGTTGCTCCAATGTGGCCGTTGAAATCTCCTCCTATGAAAAGCTTCTCGATGTGCGGGATACCACGCACCATCTCATCTAAGTCCTCCCAGAAACGCCTATTGACTTCCTGATCCAAGCCAGTTTGGGGTGCGCATGCACTGATTATGTTCAAAGTAAAACCACTAACAATTAGCTTAATAGTCATCAGTCTGTCATTCACCCTCCTAACATCCACCACTAGTTCACGGAGGTCGTTATCAACCAAGATACCTACCCCGTTCCTGCCCCCAACCTCCCAGAATACCATAGCTTGAAACTGCCCACATCTCGCGCCTTATCTCCTGCCCACCTAGTCTCTTGTACATAAGCTATACTAACCTTCCTTTTCTCGAGAATCTTCGCTAGCTCTACAGATTTTCCAGTCAAAGTTCCTATGTTCCAAGACCCCACTCTCAACCTAGTAGCACCCTTTAGCCCTCTTACCCCCCTTACCCCCTCCCCTATGCAGACACCCCTGTAGACAAGACCTTACCCTACCATCGTTCACCAAAGCCACTATAATCTATGAGTCACTATGCAAGCGCTATCCCGAAAACAAGCGACCAAAGATACTATAATCTATGCATAATGAATGGACATTCATAAATAATATTATTTACAATAATTTCTAGTAATACAGTCAAGCCTCTTTATAACAGCCTCGTTTATTCCGAATATTTTTGGATGTTATAGCAAAGTGCTGTTATAGAGAACATATATTATAACATATAACATAAAAAATGGTTCCAAGAAAATTTGACTTTTATAGTGAAGTGCTGTTATATATGAATGTTGCTATAGAGAAGTCTGACCGTATTTCAGTTTGTATGTAATTTACTAACACTAATAGGCATATAATCTTTATACTAGTAAATCAATAACATATGAGAACATGTAAGTTAAAATATCATGGTATAGCCAGTTTTCACACTGGTCAATGAAAAATAGCCAGCGTTTATCAAGTCAATGAAAAATAGCCACTAGTTTGCTGCAACAGGGACCGGTCCAGTATAATATACGGGAGTTCTGGTGCATTTGTGTACGAACTCCAGCATATTATGCTGGACCGGTATACTTTGCTAACTCTTGTAAAATTTGCGGGAGACTGGAGCACCAGTGCTCCAAACTCCAGTATATTATACTGGACAATTATACTTGCTGGAACTCCCGTAAAATTTGCGGGAGTTCCAGCATAGTTATCCCGGAACTCCCGTAAAATTTACGGGAGTTCAAGCATACTTATGCTGGAACTCCCGTAAAATTTGCGGGCGTATTTTTCCTGATTTTGAACAGTGTTTTCGCTCAGATTTAAAGTGGCTAAATTTCGATAACTTTTGAAACTTGGCTATTTTTCAACGACCAGTGATAAATCCGGCTATTTTTGAATTTCCCGTATATAGCAAATAATGATTAGTTAACAAAAAAGTCGGTCAAATAAGTTGATACAACATATTTTACTATATTGGTAAGGTAATACATACTGTTAGTGCTTAGTATATAGTATAAATTAATTTTAAAACAATAAACTAAAATAAATTAAACTGTTTAAAATTGATTAAAGCTTGAGTTATAGTGGAGAACTGGAGATCAAAGAAAATAAAATTTCTCTTGATTTCCTTTCCAAGAATAGAGTAAATGAGATGTTAAAAGAAAATAAAAAAGTAAAACCAAAGCAGATTAAGAACAAAGGCCCAAAAACTAAAGAGAAGCAATCCAACCAAGCAAAAAACCCCTAGTCGATCTAAAACCCTAGCCGGAAATGGGCGATTCTTCCACCGCCGGCAACGGCAACTATCTGCCGCCGACAACTCCCAAACTTCCGATACCGGGCAAACGGAATATCCTCATCACAAGCGCTTTGCCATACGTCAACAACGTTCCTCACCTCGGAAACATCATCGGAAGTAATTAATCTCAGCAATTCAATCCTTAGTTCCCTCTATTTGTTTTGTTTTTGATGTCTCATTTTATCTTCAAATTATGTTTTATTTGTTTGTTGTAGGTGTGTTGAGTGCGGACGTGTTCGCGAGATACTGTAGGCTTCGGGATTACAATGCAATATACATGTGTGGTACTGATGAATATGGCACGGCTACTGAGACTAAAGCTTTGGAAGAAAATTCTACTCCCAAGCAAATTTGTGACAAGTAATGCACCTTTCTTTTATATTAAATTCATAATTTTTTCTTAGAATGTGCACTAAATAAATCAGTTAAGTGCATCGCAATCGCAAACTAGTTGGGACTTGGGATTGGCTATAGGAGACCTTTATATACAATTCACGTTAATGGGGTCTATTTATTTCATTACTAAATCATTAATATATTCATACACATTTGATACTCCCTCCGTACCATTTTATGTGATTCACTTTGATTGGACACATAGTTTAAAGAAAGAAAGACTTTTGAAACTTGTAGTCTGAAACAACTCATGGATATTTGTGTGAATATAAATCATCTTATTATGGTTAAAATCGAAAGCTTAAAGTTAAATTATTTCTAAATATAAAAAAGTATCATTCTTTATTGGAGAGGAAAATGGAAAATGCTGCACATAAATTGGAATAAGAGGGAGTATTAAATTTGTTTGGTAGATGTAAAGATACAAATTTAAGTTTCTGATTTGGAATTTGTGATAGTTTTCTTATTCTAAAATTTTAATTTTTCATTCCTAATCATTGATATACTCATCCATTACATTTTCTTAACCGTTAGTATAGTTGTTTGCCAGCTATAAATTGTTTGACACCTCCTTTTAAAAGACAGAGCCATGCGCCTACACTGCGTTGTTGCTTAAGTGAGGCTAAGTGTCCATGTTGTGCTACACTAGAGTTTAGAGTTTAAACACATCTCCAGCGTGCCTTTAACAACACTCGAATCATGTGTCGTGTTGTAACATATAAGAGAGGTCCAAGAAAGCAGTCAAAAACTCAAAACTAGCATCATGGATTCAAGTCATTCTTGATATCTCTTTTCGTAGAATAAAACGTTTGACATATCTTGGACTTAAACTCTATCACTGGAGCATAATTATACTCTTGGGTAATAGCAGGTGAGATCAATCATCAATGTCGTAACCAGAGGCGGATATAGTATACAACTTACGGGTTCAACCGAACCCATAACTTTCGATGCGGAGTAAAAAATTTGTATGTAAAAATTCAATAAAATTACAAAAATAGTAGATATGAACCCATAACCTTAAAAATATAATGGGTTCAATGTTAAAAACCTTAAAATTGAACCCATAAGATTTGAATCCTGGATCCGCCTCTGGTCGTAACTTGGAGAAGAGAAGAATAGACAAATAGACATTCCAGAGCCGTGAGAGACTTTCCAAAGTTTATACATAATTATTAGATCCTCTTTTACATGGAGGAAGTCACGCACTTTAAAGTGGACAACTAAAGGACAAGATTGAGAATAGACAAAATTTTAATTCTCAACTAATGGGATGATGATTTCTGGTTTATCAAGCAAATCTCCCTCCCTAGAGCCGTGTCAAACCATAACCCCTATTCTTAGTTGCGGATAGTGGTATAAGAAATCACCATATTCTCAAGCACCGAAGGTCTTTGAGAATGCTTAAGTGGTGGTGGGACTCATTTGTAGTCATGGGAAGGCATGATTATATCTTAGCATAGAAGTAAAGTTGTTAAGATAGAATTTAAAAAAGTGGGATTTGAACACTTGGAGGTGATTCGAGAAGAAGAAGGATCTAAATTTGGAAAATTTTGCAGTTTGCAGCCAATGCAAGAGGAAAGGTCTCTATCTCTGACTAATTAAGGTTGGATATTGTCACAATCCAATCTGGGCCTTGACCGGCGATCAGATGGTAGGGCCCCAAAGCAAGCTTAATGGAAGTCTACAGAAATGTAGACAGAGTTTTTTCTATTTCTAGGACTATCCATATTTTCTTATCTCGTCTAAGTTACATACCACAAGTCCACAACAACACCTGTGAAAAGTAATACTTCTCTCAATTTGTTTGACAAGATTTGACTAGATACATAGTTGAAAAAGTAGGACCTTTTGACATAAACTTATGCATATTATTATAAAAGTGGGAATCCCAAAACTAAAAAGTTAAAAGACCTAATTACTCTTCTAAATAATTATTTATTAGAAAGAAGAAACTAATCTTATTTGAAGTGTCTTTTCTAGAAGATTGTGTCCATCTGTTTTTGAAGTTTGGTCTTACCGTTGGATGTTTTTGAAAGTGTCATCTATATGAAGCCAATCATGACAAGATCTTAGTAATTCTTCCTATTGATTCTATCAATTTCTTATTCGTTTTTTTACCAACGTTGAATGTATATAGTACATTATTACTCCTCTCTCTTTTATATTCTGCTCCATCTTCCAAAAATTTCTTATTCTATTAGGTTGAGTTTTGGTGTTAGAAAAAATCAACTTTAATTTCTTGAGTAGGCATTGTATCTCAGGAATAGAATTTCATTAAACCATTAGCGGGTATTATAACGGTGACTGAAGTGGAATATAGTACTACTAAAGAAATGTCACTTTCTCCTCAAAATTATATTTTGATTGTTCATCTTTGTAGGTTCAAACGATATCCAACCATTTTGATCTCGACAAACAAGTCATTGACCCACATTGATCATTCATAAAAACTTATGTTATTCTTTCTTGTATGATTATTTACTCGAACATTGCTTTAATAATATAGATATTAATTTAAAAAGTGTGCTACAAGGCTCGGGATATACATGTAAAGCACGTGCCGAGAAACTAGTATGTATAAACTACCAATGGTTCAAATGAATCATACCTTATCACAAAAACAAAGAGAGAAAAAAAAACTAAGGTCTATATAACCCATGCCAACTTCTAGAAAAACATCTCATTAAGGGCAAAATGAGACGTTAAATATTACTTCCTTCATTCCAAATTTATGTGATGTAGTTTAAATTTGAAAGTCAAACTCCTTAATGTTGACTTCAAATTCAGACATAGAATCTTTAACTTTTCTGAAATAAAATTTATATATTTAAAAACTACATAAAAGTACTACAAGTCACAATAATTAATAGTTCAAAATATTTAAAGGCATATAAAAGAATCGCGGTCAGAGAAAAACGTGTTTAACAGTTGAAATCCTAATTGCATCACATAAATTGGGACATAGGAGTAGGAGTTTCTAAACACAAAAAGGTGCCAATTTTTTTTGGGATGTACAAAGTGATGGTGCCAAACAAATTGGGATAAAGGGAGCAATATCCATTACTAACCAAAGATACGTAACACAAAATTTCTGACGTCATCACAAGTTCACAACCTTGAACTACAAGAAAATCTAAATAAACTAATAATATCACGTCAAGTGAAATACTCGCGATACTTATTAATGAAGCAACACTGTGAGTTTTAAATGAATGGCAATGACAAATGATAAAGACTCTCCATGTACATGAACAAAATGCGGGCTCACCAATGCTGTCTCTTTCAATAGCTCTTATTAATAAGGTCCTCATCAGCTTCGGCAGTTGTCTCTGTGAAACAAGAGCTAAAGAGTTCGCTGTCTCAAAATGATATTTGTAATAGACTAATAGTAATAACAATGATAATAACAATTATTATTATTATTATTATTATTATTTTTGCATGCTTTCTCCCTAAGTCCTTGCAAAATTTATTTCACCTTTTTTTTTGGTATAGATGGTTACAAATTGGAGGGACTTTATTTTTCAGTATTGGAGCTAAGCATGCATTGCTTTGTTCACAAGTCCTTTCTTCGTTTTCTTGGTTTTGCAGATACCATGCAATTCATAGAGAAGTTTATAAATGGTTTGATATAAGCTTCGATCAATTTGGACGCACGTCTACTCCACAACAGACGGAAGTTTGTCAGGCGATCTTTAACAAGCTTTGGGAGAATAATTGGCTCTCTGAGAACACTATGCAGCAGGTATATAATTCTTAATAAGTATATCTTCTGGTAGATGCTTGGTTCTGTGCTGCTATTCCCAGGCCTTAAGCTCTTTGGCTTCAAATATCTCATAGATTGAAGTAGCCCGAAACTCAGTTGATGCGTGAAATTTGACATATTTGTTACTGAAGCTAAGTTTATTTCACAGCCGTACTGTGACACATGCAAAAAGTTTTTGGCGGACCGGCTTGTAGAGGGTAACTGCCCGACACCAGGTTGCAACTATGATTCTGCACGTGGAGATCAATGTGAGAAGTGTGGGAAACTCTTAAATCCCACTGAACTGAAGGATCCAAGATGCAAGGTTTTATTATTTTCCTCTTTTTCCAGATGTGTATTTCTTAATATAGTATAGTTAAAGTACTTCTTGTCATCTGGTTATCGAAGAAAGTACTTCTCATCATCTAGTTTCTTTTAAAAAATGAACATTTTTTGGCTAGAAACTTGACTTATTTTTGTCCCTTCGGGCACATCCGATGGAATTTGAATGAGACTTGACTTATTTGTGACAGAGGCTAAACAACCTTTTATTTGGAAACTTTAAAATACCAAGAACTTCAAGGACATAAAGCATGTCGGATTAACAATACAAGAATGTGATAATGATTTTACTTACTACTGAAGTCTTAGCTTGCTTACTCTACAGGTTTGTCGTAACACCCCTTGCATCCGAGATACAGACCATTTGTTCCTTGAGCTCCCTTTGCTAAAGGATAAATTAGAAACTTACGTCAACAACATGTCAGTGTCTGGAGGATGGAGTCAGAATGCTGTCCACACAACAAATGCCTGGCTTAGAGAAGGACTAAAGCAAAGGTGTATAACTAGAGATTTGAAATGGGGGGTTCCAGTTCCACATGAAAAATACAAGGAGAAGGTTGATTGAGCAAAACCGTTAGTTGTAACTGGTTACCCTTCTTTCTGAATATATAACACTTGGTTGTAACTTGTACCTTTACTGATAATTACTCCACTTGCTGTTATCAATTCATGTGTTGGTATAAGTCGAAGCAGCAATTTTTTTTTTCTGTTCAATTCCATTTAGATTTTCTTAACAACCTTATTTATTGATCTATTGGTAATTAGGTTTTCTACGTGTGGTTCGATGCTCCTATTGGATATGTATCAATAACATCATGCTACACAACGGAGTGGGAGAAGTGGTGGAAGAATCCAGAGAATGTGGAGCTCTATCAGTTTATGGGCAAAGATAACGTGCCTTTTCACACTGTAAGTTCTTGAAAATCCATAGAAGTCTTGATCAAAAAGATAAACTCCATAAAAGTATCATCATCTCTTTGGTGGTAAAAACGAGGTTGATACGACAAAGTCAGGAGTACTTGGAATGAAGGATAATGGAGACAAATTGAATATACTGAGATAGTGGTTTCCTTGATAATTGTTTACTACTCTTGTAATAGACTTAGGGCTATTTTTCGTAATGGCTTGGGATTTACATATTTAATATTCCCTCTTTAGTAGAGGGTGCGAAAGTTTACATAGGAATTAGGATACAGAAAAAAGTAAGAAAGAAGAAAGAAATTGACCACATATGAGAACTTTGTTTTGAATCGTTTTCCTTCTATTTTTGTTTAATCTTAATTGGTCAAGAACTTCTGCAGGAAGATTCAATCATCAGTTCTTCTATAATTAGAAATAATAAAATTGAAGCAGTGTTATTAATATAGGATATTTGTTAACATATAAATTTTCTTCCGTTTTGTCAAGGTTCCAAGTCTGATATTTAAACAGACTAGGGTAGAGATCATAATGGATAAAGAGAACTCACATAGCTGAGCCCAGCTAATCTGAGATTGAAGTACAGTTGAATGATTGACTTGGAGAAATATGCTTAGGGAGTTGCAATGCCATGAATTTTCCGGCTCCGTTGCTATGTTGGATAAGCTTAACCATAGTGATATTATTTATGTTAGTGGCTATTACATGTAAGAAAGTAAATTTTGTATTTTCCAGGTGATTTTCCCATCTACACTGCTTGGAACTGGTGAAAACTGGACTCTTATGAAGACTATCAGTGTAACAGAATACTTGAACTATGAAGCAGGTTAGTTGGAAATAAGGCCGTGAAAATTGTCCATATGTTCTTGCTGCTTGGAACTTAATATGCCGGAAACACCAGTTCATACTGCAGAGTTAGTGCTTTTCTCATTTGAATTTTTGCTTGTGTCTCTCGGTTGTCATAATCAGGCAAGTTCTCGAAGAGTAAGGGCATAGGAGTATTCGGTAATGATGCAAAAGATACAAACATTCCTGTAGAAGTATGGAGATATTACTTGCTGACAAACAGGCCAGAGGTGGGTTCTTGGTGGTTGTAACTTCTGTTGCCTGATAATCCCCTATTCTATAATGCTCTTTTATACAGGCATGATTACTAATGATTTCAGTTATCTAGGTGTCGGACACTTTGTTTAGCTGGGCAGATTTACAAGCAAAGTTAAACAGCGAGTTGCTAAGCAACTTAGGCAATTTCGTCAATAGAGTCCTAAGTTTCATTGCAAAAGATCCGGGTATGTCAGCTAATTATCTTGTATGATATATTTTCATAGTCTCCCCCTCTTGATATGCTTTTGCTCTTGTCAGCTAGTTTCGTGTCTGTTTTATCAAAATTCTTAAAACATTTTGACTATACCAAGCTTTGGCAGCTTATTTCGCGTGTGTTCATTTCCTACAGTAAGTCTGTTTTATGTATCAGATGACATGGTTTATTATGCTGTTTCATGCTTTTGTGTTACTGGTATTGTCTACTTGACTGCTTGTGGTTGACTTGATGAAAATTGTTGTTTCTTCTTCCTGTGAATCACAACATAAAATCTACTTGCCACCTTGGATTGTAATGCTGGTATATCTTTGAGAAATATTTCTTGTTCTTCCCTAGAAAGATAAAGAAAGATAGAAGGGGGGAAATTTCTTGGCTGAAAGTTGCTTCTGATTTGGATAACTGCCTTGATTCCTTATCGTTTGCCTTAAAAGTATCTTGCTACTGGTCACTGATCGAAAAAAAATCTTGTTACCGGTATATTCATAAAGAGAAGAAGGGAAGATTCTTGTTTCTGCTAGAAAGATAAAATTGGAAAAGTTCTTGACCGAAATTTGTTGTTTGTTCTGGTTTCGGAGTGTTAACTGGAAATAATCTAGTCCTTTTTCTTACATAAATCTAACAGATATTTATGAAAAATGTGCTTATACAGTTTCAGGTTATGGTTCCATAATTCCCAATCCTGAAGGAGCTGAATCACACCCTTTAACTAAGGCCTTGGGTGAAAAAGTTGGAAATTATGTGGAGCAATATATAGAAGCTATGGAGAAGGTAACTACACTTCTTTAATGGGGTCTTTCCAGTTCTCATGGAATAGAACTCCTTTCAATTTTTTTTCCTTACATGTGTTTGGTATGACTTTACTATCTAAAAAATAGGGCAATGTGAAAGAAAAAGGTTCATATAGATGATACTAATTCTTTTGGATTGAGGCTTAGTCATGTCAGTACATTCCTCTAGGTTGAATGTTTGTTAGGAGTCTTCTAATCTACGCCCAAAAGTGTAGCCTAGTGGTCAATGAAGGGAAAGGAGAACCATGAGATGTCAGGTTCAAATCCCAGGAGAGACAACAAAACTAGGTGATTCCTTTCCATCTGCCTAAGCTTGGGTGAGCAGAGTTACCCGGTATTTGTGCTGGTAAGAGCCTAAGAGGTAGTAGGTATCTGGTGGAACAGTCGAGGTGCGCAAGCTGGCCGGACACCACTGTCATTAAAAAAAGGAGTCTTTTAATCTCGTTAAAGATTTGTAAACCCAATAGTGTCAAGAGAACCTAGATTATTGGGCATTGGATTGGGATAGGTCCAAATGTAGTGTCATGGATATTGAGGATTCATATAGCTGGCCAGTCACTAGCTTGAGGTTGAGAGTTGTAGTAATACTAGTAGTAGTTGTATCTTACATATCTCGATTGGGTTCTTCTTTCCTTTCTATGTTCTGAAAAACCCTTATACACTGCAATTCTTTTAGGTTAAATTGAAGCAAGGCTTGAAGATTGCTATGTCTATTTCTGGAGAAGGAAACGGTTATTTGCAAGTAAGCCTGTGAAATACTTCCTAACTGTCTGTTTTTTATTTATTAGTTGCTCGTGCCATTGTATTTTTCTCTTTTGAATTAGAACCTGCTTTTGAATTTCAGTAATGGCTGTCTCATGGTTGCTTTAATCTCCTAAATTTAGACTTATCATACTTCTTTCTGTAGGAGAGCCAATTCTGGAAACTTTACAAGGAAGATAAGCCATCGTGTTCCATAGTGATGAGTACTGCTGCTGGCCTAGTGTATCTTCTTGCATGTCTTTTAGAGCCATTTATGCCATCCTTTTCACGTGAGGTAGTAACTCTGTTACCATCATTGCAGCGTTTAACTGTGTCTAGGTTCTGTACTGTGGCAGTGTGGCTGAGGTTCTGTCTGTGGTCATGTTTGATGCTTTTTTGTCTTCCTGTGATTGAGGTTCTCTCTGTGCTTAATGGTTTGATGCTCTTACGCCTTTGATTGACAGGTGCTTAAGCAGCTGAACTTTCCTCCTGAAACACAAGTTTCACTGGCTGATGAAAGAGGGGACATTGAAAAAAGCAAACGACCATGGCATATTCTACCTGCAGGACACAAAATTGGAATACCAGCACCATTGTTCAAGGAGCTGGTAATGCATTGCAGTATCTTGTTCTTTACTGCATGTCTTATTCATTCTTTCATTTTTGTCTAAGATTGAACGTGATTATATGCAGAAAGATGAAGAAGTTGAATTTTACAGAGAGAAGTTTGCCGGAAGTCAAGCGGATAGGAATCTGAAGGCAGAAGCTGAGGCAAAGAAGATCACTGATCAATTGAACAAAGCAAAAATCTCTGGTGACTTATGTTTACTTTTCTTTTCCCCCTCATCTGATAAGTAAGAATTCAATTGCAATAAAAGAAATTTTCAATTATGACAGAACAACACCCAATAGGGGCAGGAGAAAGTGTGTTTACACAACTACTGTATCTAATCCTCAGCGCAAATGAAATTTCTGATTACAATTTTTTTACTTTCATTAATAGTTATAATAGAAACGGGAAAAAAAATATTCAGAGATGGACGGGAAAGTGTTCAGTTGTTCACCTTACTTTTTATATGTTGTTTTGTTCGGTGGATCTTGTGGGCATATCTTCAATTGGGAATGCCTTTTTGTCCTCAGAGGACCTTATTTGGTACTTTTTCTTGTAAGAGATGTTACCTATATGTTTTCTCTGTCAGTATGTAGTATGCTACTAGCTGTTTTCCTTTCTCCCGAGTTTGGAGATTTTGAATATCTGCATTCAGCAAAAAATGCAGTGACTTTGTATCAGTCTCCCAGGTTTTACAAATAAAATATTTAGTTGGGGAATTTCAGGCATTCTTAATATGTCTGATATGCTGTAGCTGCACCTTCTGGACGCTCTTCTTCTGTAGGTCTATTCTGGATAGTCTCCTGATATAATAAAACCAGAATCAGTCGACATGCATCACCACCTCTCTTTATCATGCCATTGTTTCATTGATGCCAGAGGTTGGCTATGTGAATCATTTATATCCATTTCGCTCTTTCGAATAGTAACACATATCTTCTGATTATGTATGGTAACTCCTAAATAATTTATATCTATTACTGATATCTTATCATATTCTTGTTAAAGAGCTTCCTTTTCTTGTATGTGGGGGGTGGGGGGTTCTTTATCCAATGGTTTATGGCTGTATGCTAGAATAATTCTTACCAAATCGTTACATGGACTGCTGGTCACATCGAATTTTGCTTATTCTATCAGATGCTAATAAGAAGAAAGAACGTGCTACAAAACCTTCTGTAGCCAAATCTAAGGGGTCAGCCTCTGTTGAAGCAGAAATTTCGATTAGCAGACTCGATATTCGTGTTGGTCTCATTACAAGAGCACAGAAACATCCCGATGCTGATTCATTGTATGTTGAAGAGATAGATGTTGGTGAAGCTCAGCCCAGAACTGTTGTTAGTGGCCTTGTAAATTATATTCCTCTTGAGGAAATGCAGGTTTGCATTCTTCACTTTCTCTATGTGTTGATTATAAATTGTTACCTAGCAAAAATTTTCACAATGATATCTTTCTAACAGAATCGGAAGGTTTGTGTTCTATGCAACCTAAAACCAGCAAGCATGCGGGGCATAAAATCCCAGGCAATGGTTCTTGCTGCTTCCAGTAGTGATCACACTAGGGTAAGTGACGGCCTATTGCTTCTATTCCATTTATCTACAGATTGCTTATATGCCTTGCCAGGAGGATACATAAAAAGGAGAGAATTTTTACAGCCAGGAAAACAAGAAATGGTTCTTCCATTTTCCTTGTTGTCCCAATTGCACGGACTTCCTTGATCATCACCACTCTGTTGATAGTAAATAGGATCAATTCAGGATACCTGCCTAATAATACACATAGAGCTCGCTCTGATTGAGATGCCAAATAAGAAAAGACATGTAGAGTGTGGAAATTTGGGTCAAAAGGAGGTGTATATATTCCCTCCGTAAAGGAGTATTCAGGGTTAATGTAGACCAAACACTGTTGTCTTTTTGGATGAAGTAGCTACAGTTAAATATCTATGTGCAATTTGGCAAATTTTGATGCACAAAATACTGAAGCATGTGCCAAGTTTTTTGTATAGATGACATGAAAAATTTGTTGAGGTATGCCATTGTACAAGACCATCTAAATAGAATGTCTAAGGTAGACGTAGCTCCTTCAGCTGCGTTATTTTTGGTGAGAACCATGAGGTCCCAGGTTCAATCCCAGCGAAGGCAAAAAGCACTAGATATTTTCTTCCTATTAAAGCTTTGGTGGATACCTGTGTTGGTGGGAGGTTGCAGGCATCTGGTGGAATAGTCGAGGTGCGCACATGCTGGTCCGGATATCATCGTCATAAAAAAGGAAGATGTAGCTTCTTTCACTGCGATATTTTTGCACAAATGGCAATACTCCCAACTTATTGTGTAATTTACATGTGGCCACTACCAGTCAATTTACTGTATAACTGGCATATGTTTATGTATGTATTTCAAAAATTTCTGCCAGTATAATCATTACTAGAAAGTGAAATTAACACTTAGTTACTCTTGGAGATTTTTTCCCTATGTTTTTGATGGAGCACACTTAATGACTTTTAACACAGATAAGATGGTTGAAATGAGAAAAGAAAACAAAAGCTAAAAGGCAGAAAAGGGAAAAAGTTGGAAAGTTAACTTATGCAGTATGATGATGGTTGCATGTCAGGTTGAACTAGTTGAGCCACCTAAAGATGCTGCCATTGGTGAAAGAGTAACGTTCCCTGGGTTTGATGGCACTCCCGATGATGTCTTGAACCCTAAGAAGAAGGTTTGGGAAACTCTTCTGGTGGACCTGCACTCAAATAAGGAGTTGGTCGCTTGCTATAAAGATTTACCATTCACCACTTCAGCTGGTGTTTGCAAAGTTGCATCCATTTCTGAAGGATCAATTAGGTAATTTATTTGGCTGATCTTCTAGAAGAGGAATTCAAGATTTTGCTTTATAATTTCTTTCACAATTGTTCGTCTTTCCTTCACAACGATAAACAATCAAATTTTCCCTTATGATTGACTAGAGTATTGTTGAAAGGAAATGAGTATTGAATGTACTCCTTGAATCTTGCTATGTTTCTGATTTTCTGTATAAATACATAAGTTGGACAATTTGAATGAACTTCTCAACCGCGCTACTTCAGTATTCAGTTAGAAAAGGTATTATCTGAAACCTAAGGGAATCTTTAAGACTTTAATTCGCCATTCTATACATGGCTGGTTGATTAATGTCTCTGAAAATTGTCTCTCAGGTTCCTGTTTTATATGTAGAAATAAAAGAGATTGTTGGGATGTTGGTGTATTATCGGGTCTGCATGTTGTAAAATTTCTTATGAAAAAATTTAACCAACACCAAAGCTATATTGCCCGACCCTTTTGATGGCGCTGTGTACTGTGTTTTTAGGATAATCTTGCTTGTAAATCTCTTACCCTTGTGTAAATGTAACAGAAGCATTTCTCTTTTTACCTAAGGATTTTTGAGATCAAAGGTATTTCCCTTGCAAGATAAAAGATTGACATTTGAAGGCTCCTAGTCTCTAGTGATAAGAGCACAGTGATGTGCGGGTTATAGGCAAAAGCCTGATACTTAAATAGAGAAGGGTATAAGGTAGATCCATTATCCAGTGAATTAGAATTTTTTGGTTATACAAAAAAGATAGACATGTGAATTTGAAAGGAAAAGAAAGCTTTTGCGATATATTTCCCCACATTTGGGATTATACTAGGTTTGTTGTTGTTGTTGTTGTTGTATTATAAGGTGTGTAATATATTTCTTTTTCATATCAGAGTTTGATGAAAAGTCGTATTGAGGTTCAATACAGGGCATGTATGAATTATTTAAAAGTATTTTGAACTGCGGTGCATTTTTCAAACTGATGTTTACGAGATGAAAATATGATTGAGAATGATATTTAGTTTAACTAAGAATTGATTCTTAAGAAGCTAGTTTGAGTTTATGTGAATGAGATATTTATTGTAAAAATAGCACGGTATAGCCAGTTTTCGGACTGGCCATTCAAAAATAGCCAGCGTTTATGAAGTCAATGAAAAATAACCACTATTTTGCTGCAACAGAGACGGTCTAGCATAATATACTGGAGTTCGGTGCACCTGTGTATGAACTCTAGCATATTATGTTGGACCGGTATACTTTGCTGACTCCAATATAATATACTGGAGACTGGAGCATCGGTGCTACAAACTCCAGTATATTATACTGGACAATTATACTTGCTGGAATTCCATCATATTATTCTGGAACTATGTTGGAGTTCCAACATACTTATCCTGAAACTTCAGTATAATATACTGGCGTATTTTTCGGGTTTTGAACAGTGTTTTTGCTTAGATTTATCTTTATATGAAAAGTGGCTAAATTTTGGTTACTTTTGAAACTGGGCTATTTTTTAACGACTAGTTGTAATTCTGGCTATTTTTAAATTTCTCCCATATTTATTTGGTACTACGATGCCTTAGCTTCAGTGTTTGATTGGAAAGCATGTTTAAAGCAATTGCAAGTGTATTTTGTGGTTACATTCTATAAATTCATAAGTAGTACAAGCCCATAAGAAGTACGAAACTCTTTCAGCTAACCCCAAGTATATTTTGTAGTTGGAATTGGCAAACATTTATTCTGTTCAAAGAAAATGACCGGATTTTTTGTTTAATTTAATATAGTGCAGACTTGCAAAATGAATCAATATTATCTATTGAGAGATTTTTAAGGAGAACAAGATGATGTTAACCAATAGTTGATTCAATATGAGAAATAGAGGTGGTGTGGGGGCTAATGGAAGTCCACGTTATTATGTGTCAAAAAAATTGAAATCAGGTAAATTCATCCTATGTGTCATTTCATAATTTGAACTTGGATTGTGGAAGATTAGATATCACTAGGGGTGGCAAAATGGTTAAAAGAAAACAGTTAACCACTAATATTATCCACTAAAAATGGGTTGGATAATGAACTTTTTAAAATCGGGTCAAATATGGATAATTATCATATTATCCATTTACAAAATGGATAACTAATGGGTCTAACTTTTACATATGTAAAGCCTCAAATTGGGTGTTCATCAAGTTAGGGAGACTAGGAATTCTCCCAAAAGTGATCATATGCAAGAAGTCATATATAATATGGTTACCCATGTTATCCGCCGGTTAACCCGTTTTTTTATCTGTATTAAATATGGGTCGGGTCGGATAATTTATCCTTTTTTTCCATTATCCGTTTTCGATCCAAATCATATCCGACCCGACCTGCCCGTTTGCCACTCCTAGACATCACCAAAGGATATGGCGGGATAATTGGTTCCTTCATTTTTAATCAAAGGACTCAAATTTGAATCTTAAAAATGAAATTTTTTTTGATAGGGAGAATTTTACCCCATAATAGACTTATTTGATGTGAACATGAATTGGTGTGATCAATGAATTTAGAATACCAATGACTAACTTTACCTACATTATTAAGATAGACGAAACAACCCTTATCAAGTAGACAAGTTTATGTAGTAGACGTTGAGCAATATCTAGTTAAAGTCTAGAAATGAGAATTTGAAGTTAAAATACATTAATATTCTGCCTTTCTATACTTGGAGTGGGGTGGGGCCCTCGAGTGGTTGTTGGGGGGGGGGGGGGGTAATTTTATTTAAAATCAAACATTCAATAAAATTTAAGGTAGATCTGATTGGACCTAAAGTTATACTTGGAGAGCCCTACACCACATATTTAACCACTTTTAAATGAATATTGGGATTATCCTCAGTACAGGTAATGAAATGGATGTAGAATCTTCTACAAATCAGCCTTTAAAATTTGACTAATTAATGATTTGTTTCCCATCACAATATATAATAAAACAAATCTCCACTAATACTAGTTCATGTTTAGCCATGACCGAGTCACGATCTATATAAGAAAGATCTTTACAGATATAGCCTGCGGAATTCATTATTTTACATAGTCAGTTTGCATAGATTATATACATAAAATATATAAATTATATAAAGTATTATTTTTAACTAAGTGATTGGATAAGTGGCTATTTGGTTAATTCCTCGGTAAAATATCATAAATTTTGGCTAAAAGGTGATCATTTTCCTGGGGCAAAGTTGCTAATAATATACTGCTCATGTTATAAATAGAATTATATTTATGGTGAATGTCTATATTTAGAGAGATTCTAGGGTTCATTGCTTGGTGGCTAAGTCACCCTCTCCCTATAAATAGAAGGTTCTATTTTATTGTAATTCATCCAAAATCAATAAGAATTCCCTCTCTCTACTTTTCTCTGCAATACTCTTGTTCTTCATTTATTGTTTTATAACACTATCAGCACGAGACTCTAACCAATTGAGTAGAAGCTTTGGGATTGAGCATAGTGATTGTCAATTGTTCTATGAGCTTTCTTCATGATTAAATCCTAGATTTAAGGTATGTATTTTACCGTATTTTTCTCTATTCTATAATTTGATTTTAAATACAAGCAAAGACGATAAATCTTGATTTTAACTCTAATGGAGTTTGAAAGAAATTATAACCACCCAAAGTGGTAAAATTTCTATGTCTTGCCATGATCAAAGTCATGTATGATCGTGAGCACAAGAAGTGGAAACCCGTCCCATTGAATTTGCTTCATTCTAATTCCCTTAAGAGAATGTGGTAGCAATATGTGATAAGTTTGAAAGAAGACAAAATTATTACCGTGAAGGTATCAATGGATGTGGACATGGTAATAAACGAAATTATAATCGTCATCATTGTGATAATGAGAATAATAAGGATTCTCAAAATAATCCTTCACCCTGTGAAAGTAATGTTTGTCATCGATTTGACATGAGATTTGTAAAGCACATATAAATGATTATGGTCCATTCATGATGTGAATGTGACAACAAGTGATTTATTAATACATATTCATTTTTGGAAGAATATGAGCGTGCTAGTGGTAGTGAATATACCACACTCACCTCTAGAAGGAGGTTTGAGATGATATAAGAAAATAATATCATTATTAAGGGATAAATGGTCATTGGTCACATACTTATTGTATGCCAAAATATTTTGGCATTGTGATTATTAAAAGGCAACGGTAATACAAGAAACAGATCTTGCATATAACTTTAACCATAACCATAATGGTATGACTTTCTCTTTAAAAGAGATATTCACCATATGGATGTTGATGAATATGTGGTACTACAAAATTAATTGAGAACTCTGCAAGAGCCAATTATACTATTTTGGAGAAACACAAATGATTACCAATAAGGTATTGTGTTGTAGTAAGTCTCAAAGAAACTTATTCAGTTTCCAAAGTATACGCGAAAGCGGTTGATTATATTGAGACTATAAATAAAGGAAAGATTTAATATCTTCTATTACTATAACTTGTAGCGGGGTATTATGTATGTGAAAAGCTACCCGCTTTATTCTTCAGTTTGTACTACACAAACAAAAGAATTCCACAATAAAGAGAAGTTTATTGATATAAAAACCCATATAATAATAAACTTGGAGTTTATTGATAAGTGCACACGTCATGGTGTAAATCTAAAGTTTATCAATATTGATAATTTATTCAGTTGGCATAATTGGTTTACCCATATCAATTTAAGCATGATGTGTAAAAATAAAAGAGAATTCACATGGGTAAATATTAAAGAACTAGAAAGTTCTTTATGAATTCTCTTATGTTGCATGTTCTTATTAATTAATATACCAACTAAAATTGGGATTGATTCCCATGAATGCTGGAAATTTCAATGGTGAATATGGGCCCATTCACCTGCCATGTATACCACATAAGAAGTATCTATGAGATGGTTACATGTGCGATTATTAATAACCCGCAACATGGTGTTTTGCGAGGTAACTTGCTCAATAATTTAATTTCGAGTATAATTTCCAGATTTTCTATTCAAGAAGTTCATCTTGATAAGTTGGTTTACATCACAGTTGGTTTAGCAAAATGATTTATTGAGTGCCTCCCCTTAATAGCTAAATTGTTGCTGATGAGAACAAAGTTATCTATATCAGTTTGATATAAGTTATATACGAAAGTATATTACATTCTCCCCTCACAAGTGGTTCAGGGTCAGGAACCAAATAATTTTATTTTATTATTATTGATGTG